GGCCTGGTCTCTGGTACCATTGTCTAGTAGATGTGGATCAGAGCGGCATGTGCAACCTCTGCCTCTCCTTGGCAGAGGGCCACATGTGAGGGGCACAGGCTTGTGTGGGCCATGTGGGTGGGCTGCCAGTACTGAGGCCAAGAGGCAGGCTCTACAGGAGACCTCAGAGGGGGTCCCGAGCCTGAGGGCCAGCGGGAGAGTCTGGGTTGAGATCACAGACATCCTGTGGGGGTGGCCCAGGGGACCTATAATGGGGTGTGTGGATGTGCGTGTGTGAGTGCGCGAATGTGCATGTGTCTGTGAGTGTCTGAGTGAGTGTGTGCGGTCAATGAGTGAGTATGAGTGTGTGTCTGGTCAGCCAGGGAGGCAGGAGCACCCCGTCTGTGGTGCCCTCAGTGGATGTGCCAACAAGGAAGTGCCTTCGGGTGGGCCTGGCGAGCTATAGGATGGAGGACCCTGGTTGTGCTGAGGGAAGGACTTGGGCACTGGGAAGAGCAAGACCAGAGAGGACTAATGGCATGTGGCTAAGGAGCTGCTGTTGGGCCAGGACCTGAATCTGGGCTTGCAAAAGGTCTCGCACCCAAGGTAGCTGAGTGAGAAGAGGGTCCCGGGGAAGCTGTGGGGCTGCGTGTGGAGGGGCTAAGGTTGAGCAGCTAGTTGTGATGTTTAGAGCAGCTGGTGGTCCACTGTTTGAGTTTTAAGAAGCCAGAGATAAGGCACATGCACACACTCACACACACCCAGCAGCAAAGAGTTAAGCCAAAGTTTTATTAAAGTATAGGATCACTTCAAAAGAAATGAGGTGGGTCCCCTCGTGAGGTGAGGAGCAATGCTGTCTAGGGCAACGTGTCTTGCTGTGAAAGGGCACATTAGAAGGGGAGAGAGTGGTGGCTCCGCAGATGGTAAGGCCACCTTCTGATTTGTTCCTTAGTTTGTCCTTGGGTCTCATGTACATTTTCCCATTGTTTGCCTCAGCTACGGCTCTGAATCAGGATGTTTCAGATGCTCGTTCCTGGGGCCGGGCTTCAAGGTTAAGATGGTTACCACGTCTGTTCTCATCGTCCCGTTGTCCATTCCCTGAGCAGGCAGAAGTCCCTGTCCGGTTCCTGTCGCTGGTCACAGAAGAGTCGAGGCCTGGAGTGGGGGTGCTGAAGTGAGGGGAGTGCGGGGGGACGGGCAGGTCTGCAATTTCCTGGATTCCCAGGTGGCCTGGAGTCAGGGCTGAGGGGTGGCCAGGGCCGGAGGCTGGGTGCAGTGAGGAAAGGAAGGGTGTTGGCTATCCCTCGGGTAGGAGATCTGGATGGGAGGTTGGGGACTGATGTTTGGGAAGCAGGGGATCTGTGTGGAGGCCAGGTGTTCAGGATGGGACTTCCCTGCCTGGGTCTGTGAGAGGCTGCCTTACTGGTTGACCAGACTCGTGCTGCATGGGGTCCCTGGAGCAGGTGTAGGAGTCAGTGAGTCTCAGTGGTGGGGATCCAGAGGCCAGAGAACAGGCCATCTATGGGGGTGGAGGCTCCAGAGTTGGCAGTGGAGAACTAGGCTGTACCTGTAGGGGCACAGTGTGTAGCTGCCGGGGGAGGGCCTACATCAGTGGTTCTCAACCTGTGGATCACAATCTCTTTTGGGGTCGAACCACCCTTTCACAGGGGTCCACTGATACCGATTCATAATAGTAGCAAAACTACAGTTATGAAGTAGCAATGGAAATAATTTGTTGGTTGTGGGGGTCACCACAACATGAGGAACTGTATGGAAGGGTTGTGGCATTAGGAAGGTGGGGAGCCACTGCCCTACAGGGACATGCCATGGACCACGTTGCTGTTGCCCTACTCAGGTAGGTGCTCTCATCCTCTAACCCCAGCTCAGGCTTTCCTGTTCTGGCTGTGGCACCCTGGGGCCCTGCTGCAATGGGCCTCTTTAGGATGGGGTACTTCGGGTTCCCTGAAGTTGAGACATAGCCCACTGTCTTTTCAGATGAGTTGACCAAGTGCAGGGTATGCACACCAGTGCTGGATATACCCCCTTCTCTGATGAAAACTTTTGGTTGGGTCTAGAATCAGGTTGCATGCGGGTGGCAGGTAATCAGGTCTGACCACGGCTGATTCAAAGGTCTTTCTCTGTTAATGGTGCCTTAACCCTGAGGTGTTGGGTCCTCTTGGGCACTGTGGGCTATCTCCAGAGGACAGCCAAGGTTGGTGGTGACAATGAGGGCCATCTACCTGGGTTTCCACCTGGGTTCTCTATCTGGACTGTCCCACTTGGGCCTGTCCAATTGTATCCTCCCATGGGGGTCCTCCCAACTGGGCCTACTCACCTGGCTCCACCAGCTGCGCTCAACTTCCTGGTCAGTCACACCTGGTGCTCCCCCTTGTGTCCCATCCCCCCCAGGACCCTCACTCCTGGCTCATCCTGAGCCTTCCCTCTGGGCAATCACACCAGCCATCTCTTACCTGGCTGCCCACCTGGGGCCTCCACTCGGGTGCCCTCAGGACAGTGACCTTAGATGAGCAGCAGGGAGTGCTGCCAAGAACCACCTCTGCCCCAGGTCCCCCTCCTCTTTCTCAGAGAGGCCTGGGTCATCGAGCCTAGGTCACAATGCCCTGCCCCTCCCTGTGCCCCACAGGTCCTCCCTCAGTCCCTCCTGCAGCCCCCCAGGTGGAGACCCTGTCCTGGTCTCTCTGCATCACCCTGGGCACCCTCCTGGGCGTTGTCTCCCTGGTCCTGGGGATTCAGTGGTGCCGAAGCCGAGCAGCCTGCAGGGGTAGGTGGGCTGGAGGCACTCACACAGAGCAGGGATGGGGCCTGCAGGGGAAGCAGGGGTGGGGGTGGGGCCCCATGTGTCTGGAAACACCAGTGACCAGCGCCTGGGTGTCACTGCCCTGAACCCAGGAGGTGTCCCACCCAGGGTCCCTGCTCCATGACCACCATGGACCCACCGGGTGTCAGGGGAGTGGGCGAGCCAGGCCGGGAAGGGGGTGTTTTCTAGAAGGGTCTGGTGTCACTCTGCAGGTTCCAGAATGACTGGGGCGCTCCCCTCAGAGGGCTTCTATGAAGACCTCGGTGCCATCTCCCTGGAGGATCAAGACTTGGAACCCAGGAGCTTTGGGGAGTGGGTGCTGGATGAGGAGTATGACGACGTGGAGGAGGAGGAGGAGGAGGAGGAGGAGGAGCAGGAAGAGGAGGCAGAGGCGGAATACGATGATGCGGAGGAGCCCCTGAGCCGCTCGGGTGTGCACCTCTCCGCCCTGGCCGCGCTGGTGCTCTTTCTGCTCTACTGCGCCTACGTGAAGACCCCTGGGCTGGGCAGCGCCTACATCTGAGCCCCTGAGCTCCTCCCTGGTGTGTCCTCCGTCAGCTCCCACAGCCCGCCTTCTCAGCGCCCTCTCCCTGCTTGGCGGCACCTGCAGCTCAGGCTGGCTCCAGGGGTTCTCTTTGGGCCCTATCTGCAGCTGCGAGCGGGTGTCTTGTTGTCCCTGAAGGCCCAACCTGTCCCCAGGAAACTACAGGGATGACCCTGAGCCGGGCTGAGGGTCTGCATGGGGATAGACTACACCTGTTGCTTGGGGCACTTGTCCTACACCGTCTGTGGTGTCTCTGGTCTCTTGCAGGGACAACCAGAGGATGTGGCCACTGGGGTTCTAAGGGCTCTGGGAGGACCCACTGTGGTTTCTTTGCTTAAATTGCAGGTGGGGTCCCGGCTTCCTGGGCAACGCAGCTCAGTCTGGGATGAAGTACAGGGCGTAGCAGCCCGTCCGCAACCTTGAGCTCAGCACTGGCAGGAAGCTCCCTGGAGGTGGTGCTTTTTTTTTTT